AAACATCTTAAGGGAATGTAGTTGCATTCATGAGGGGGCGGCAAAATGGATTGTTGCCTAGGGCGGCAAGAATCCTTGCACCGGCCCTGAGCATAAGTTAACATAATGATTGATGTTACAAGTTAGATTTCTTGATTTTATAATGAAAATATAATATTTATTTAAAAATTATTATCTGTGGCATTAAAACAAAATGGAGAATAACTGTATTAACGTATATCAGATAATCACTGATTAGCTATGGTCATATGCATTTTTACACATAATTACGAATGATGCTTCTATGTAAATCTCCAAGCTGATAAAGATCCTCCTGGCCAGGATATCATAGACTTGTTTTGAAACTGTCACAGGGCAGCCTGGGACAATATTGTGCGCTTAGGCAACGGCTCATCTTACTCCTCTAAAGACCTGTCATTTGATCTGGGAGAAGGAGACTCGCTGAGCCAAAAAACAGGGTCTAAATCTCCCACGGTGGAGGAGCCGGTCACTGCCGACTATGCTTGCCAAGCTCTGCAAAAACATAGTGGCAGACATGGCACACTTTCATACGGCCATGGAGGGACCATCTATAAAAATCACCCAGTTTGAGGCCCTATCCAGAGTCCATGACACTAAGTTTTCCATGGTGGAACAGAAACTGGAAGAGATTCAGCTGCAACAGTGGAGCCCCGAGACAAGAGAAGATGCCCTGGAGGACCATTGGCACCGATTTAACGTAGAGATCAGGGGCATACCAGAGATGCTAGACACTGCTGACTTACCTAATTTCAACCGGCGGCTCCTCGTGGCTTCCTTACCACCTAAACAAGCTAACAAGATAAAATTGGATGGAATGTTCTGTTTACCCAAAGCGGCAGGTGCGCCACCTTCTGCATCTCCGGATCTCATTGTACGATTCTATCTAGATAATTTCAAGATTAGGCCCAACTCCAAGTGTCAGTGAGGGGCCAGACTCCGATAAGATTTGAAGGCTCAACATTGCAGTTCTTTCCCGTCCTTATAAGGAACATCCTGATCTGGTTCCAATCCCTGCAGCCTCAGCTGCACCTCCGGTGTGCTAAATGCATTCCTTACCATTGGGGATGCCAAGAACTCTCCTCTTTGTGGCCCAGGAACCTACCAGGAACGTGAGGTGAAGATGCGCAAGTCAGACCTCATTGAGAAACCAAGTGAAATTGGGGCTTGTCTGTCAGGCTTAGATCCAGGGAAGTTAGAATAATTTACACCTAGGTCTAGCCTGAGCCCCTCGCCTTCCAGGGCTGTGACATGACTGCCTGAAATGCTACTTGAGGAAATTGCAGTATCCTGGGACAGGAATTTCCTACCATCTAGAGAATGGCTGATTTACACCAACGAATAATCCTTTTTAACTTTTATATTTATCCCTCTGTTTATTTTCACTTTTCATATACCTTTTGTTCTCTTCTTATTATTTAGTTATATTACCCAAATACACATGTGGGACAGTGTACTCAAACATAAGTTTATATACAGGTCCAGACTTCATGACAGGGTTCATAGAAGATAGCCTTTAGTGCTGAGCCTTTGCTCGCTGGAGCATTCCCCAGTGGGACCTCTCCCCTAAAATTGGGACTCAAAGTCCTTTGAACCAAGTGCGTAATCTGATTATATAAAGGGGGAATAGGTTGACTAAAAACTAGGCTGGGTGCCTAGTCCTATTAAGACTAGCAAGTCATATTGTCACCCAAGGACTATTAAGAATTAGGAAGACAAAGAGAGGTTTATGTCACGGTATCCAAACTTGTAGGATTAGGGACTTAGGGGTCAGTGTGGTGGTACCAGCTCCACCTAAGAGCTTGGACCCTAAAATGTGATTCGTATAAACAGAGAGTGAGTATACCCCAAACAAGGGGGAAACTCAATGCTCGTATATGAAGAAAGGGAAAAAAGATAAATAAATAAATTAGCAGCTAAATAACTTCCTTAACGATAAGTCATATGTGTCAAAAATCTAGAATCCCACAGCTAAATTGGTACCAAATGTATTATTGTGTATGGGTTCAAAGAATAATTACTTTATTGAACCCATACACCATAAGATACAAATTGGACTTAAGCTGGGTAACACAAATATTTGTGATGTATATAGCAACTCCACACCCTACACTTGTATTTGGTCTAAAAATGGCAGCTAAATTGATATGGTTGGCACTTAACCTGGTGATTGCAGCTAAGACCAAATGGTAGGAAAAAATAGTAGGGAAAAATTCAGTAGTGAAATGGGTAGCTATATCATTCAATGACTGTATGGAGCAAGAGGGCCACACTAATATAGTCTGAATCTAGGAGCTTTTGTACAAAATGATTGCAGAGGAATGGTATTGTGAAAGTTAAATTAGGTGTAATGATCACTCTTACCTACTTGAGGCAAAGCAAAAACGGCATAGATATTATTAACCTTCTCACGGCAGAAACTGCAAACCCCTTTGGAATAGATTAGTAAGAAGAGGGGAGGTAAGAGGGGCAAACATCCATTCCGTACAGGCAATTGTAAAGAGTAATTAATGCCCTGGTACTAATCCCTAAGTCTCGTAGGAAACACCTTCATGGGTGTTCTATGCTAATGCTGAATCTGTTAGATACATACCCTCAGTTCAGTCAGCCAACACACATTAAAATCAAAAAAAGACAAGAACAAATGCTAAATACCCATTAAGTGCATTAGTGATACAAAGTGCTTTCTAAGGTAGAAAATAAAAATAAAATAAGACGACCCGACGCGCCTTTCGGTGCAATAAACTGCACCTTCGTCATGGGATGAAACGTTGTGAATCTTCTTTAAAGTGGTCAGTCATTCTACACCTGAGACATTCATGCTGTGGCTAGTTGAAATGTTGTGAATCTTCAAACTGCAGGACTGGGGCTGTGACTCTGAGTATTGATCTGATTCTGATTCTCTGCTTTAATCTGTAATAATTGTTGCTTCTGTTAACCATGTCAGCTACTTCTTGGCTCCATGTTAACACTGCTGATTATTTTGTATTGCCTACAAAGGTAATAAGTAGTATATCTGTATGCTTATTTAACCCTGTGCAGACTGTGTGTAATAGAGAGTCTAACAGTATTCTGCTACTTTAACCCGTTATTCATAGCAGGAGCACTGCTAAAGATGAGATAATTAAAGGGAGCTAAGAGAGGGCTTGGAAGATAGGCAGAGCGAGAAAGTGCCAAAGTATTGTGTAGAGGCATGAACTGTGTGGTTATGTCTGTATTTCAGCTCTATGTTATCAATCACAGTGATCCTGGCTCTGTGGCATAGTTATGCTATATCCTTATCATGCTCACTTCTGTGTGTTATTGCTCTGTATTTTAATCAGCTCTGCCTGTTGTATGGGTATTCACCAGCCACCACCAATGTGTTTTGAAAATATTGTAATACGGGCAAATCATGGCTGATATATAGTGCTTCTTTGAAAGAAAGGTATGTATGGCCAAAATGTAACAGTATGTCTCTTGGACTCTTAAGGAACACACCCAGAGGCAAAGTAGATATAATTTAAAGCAGAGGCAGCTATTTGTATGCTAATCCGCATTCCATGAGATGGGTCTGAACAGTCTGAACAAAACAATAGCATTCAAAGTGAGGTTATTCACTAATTATTTTTCAGGTTTTTTGTTTTTAGATTTTTCTATACAGTAGAAAATATCAGTTTATATGTACGTACTGTTCATGGAAATATATTTAATTTTTTTTTTTTCATAATGTTTCTATTTAAATATTATTTGTTAATTTTCTATTTCCTAATTCTGACATTTCAGTGCTTTTTTATTTTTATTTAATAGCTTTATTTACTAAACCTGGAGTTGTGTTAAATTGGGAAGGAATTGCAAATTTTAGAGAATTTAACATTTTTGCTTTTTTTGTTGTCTAAATATTGTAATTAAATTGTAAATTCCTTACACCTTCAAGTTTAATAAATAAATCGATAATTTCAATTTTTATAAATAGCAAAATAGAAGTGTTAAGAAATTACTTCAGAACACATATGCTATCTTTCTTTTCTCTTTTTAGCTAAGTAGATTCCAAACTACGCATAAGCCAAATTAAAAGATTTTATAAAAAAATAATTTCCCACAAGCATGTAATTTTCTTTCCAGTTCTCTTACATTTTTTTTTTTTTTATAATATAAAACGTATCATCTGTGTGATCATGTTGTTTTGGAATTTTGTTGACCATAGAATTCACATGCAATCTTTTGAAACTTTTAAAGTACAGCCAAAAGCATTGCTCTGAAAATTAGTAATTATCCACAGTTCCAAATACCTGTCAAAGTGTTACAATATCTTGTTCTTAAGTGCTCCAATAACAGCATCTCTTATTTGTTTAAAGCGGATTTTTAAGATTCTCTATAAAGTTAGGCTAAATTAGCGGAGATGTAAAACAATCTCAAACTTGGCTAAAGTCACAGCTCGACTGTTTTAGCCTAAAATGTGCAACTTGGCTTTGTTTTTTAAATTCACTAAACTTCGCTGTTTAGTGAATAATCCCTTATAAATGTATGTATCTATAGGTATTTACAGCTCACAGATCTAGCGGTAAAAGGTTAAACCTTTTGCTTTGTATTACCCTGCAGCATATTAACAGGGCATCATTTGGCAGTTGACCCTCTCAGAACAGAAAATCTAAGGGAAGGGGGGGAGAAGCTCATATCTGCACAACATAGAAGTGGTGTTCTTGTCTGTTATTGAGCTAAGACAATCGTTCTCTTATTAACTATAGTAAGTGCATTATTACTCTCCACTCTTCCCAGAATAACTGACTGCAGATAAGTGCAAGGATGACCCTGTAACAATTGTCTTTTTTCCCGCTTTTCATTCTGACCTTAAAAACAAAACAAATACACTGTAGCCAAGTTTAGCATCCTCTTTTATTTCTGTCACTTGAATCACATTAGGAGATGAGTGAAATCCTATCTACACATTGCAAGCAGCAGTATCATCTGACCGCTTGCCACAAGCTGTACTTTGCCTGGGTGCACGCTCTTTAAAACAGCTGGAGAGGACAGTCTTGAAGAAGAGGCACAGCCCATTGCTTTTATTCCAGTAAGTGAACTAAGAGCCCTTCAATCAATATCGCAGGGCAAAGCAAGTTCTTTGGGAATCGCTCTGCTAGCAGCAGGACTAAAAACCTTTCTCTATTACGAAAGCTCTAACAGGACACAGACTTGGATCTTTAGCCTACTAAGGGTGTCTGAAACAGTTTGACAGTTCTTCTCACCTAGAGCTATTACAGCGTTGTGCCTGCTGGGGACAAGGATATTGCAGAGACATGAATGGGTATTATGCATATCTTTAACGTTGCTTGGAAAAACCTAGCTAAGGGAATTAAACAAATATTTGGAAGACGAATACTAGCATAAAACATACATCTCCTTGGCACGTTTATGTAGAGAAGCATACAGATTTATTTAATTTTTTTGTAATCTTGCCAGAGATTTATTTTCTCTTCTATTTTGTTTGAGTTTTAAAGCTTTTTTTTTTAATGCTTTATGATATTTAAAGAAAACTACTGTCACATTTCTTTCACACTGCAGTTTTATTTGTTGTATGGTTTCTCTTTTAATGCATTTTAAAAAGCCAGATTCCTTATTAAAATATATTCACATGGTTTAGAAGAAGAAAAGAAAGAAATATATTTGCACCATCTGTCTCTAATTCTCTTTTAGATACGTTGACATTAAGAAGTGCATCCAAAAAATGTAAGGATTAAACTTCCTAGTATAAGTACTGTAACCTTCAGACCTTGCAGACTGGCAGCCTCTCGTGGGATATCTTCCAGTTTATTTTTCAAACAAAATCCAAAAATAAAATTTGGCACAAGGATGTCTTTAATAACGTGGATACAGACAGTGGGATTTGTTTGAAATAAAAGAAAAAAAAATAAGCAAATACACAACATTCCTTGTGTTGTGAGGAATTCCCCATCTGTTTTGTCCACCTCCTAGAAGTTGTTTCTTTTTCAATAAGTAACCTAGCCCACATCTTCCCTCCTCCTGCCTGTGGTTCTCCCTCTTCTCAGCTGTGGATTGGTCACTCCTTGTCAGCCTGGCTTGACACTGATTTCTGCACTGGAGAAACTGCATTTCTCTCTGCTTGAATATGAAATGGGCTGGTTGGGATTAGGGGGAAGTGGCAACTCCGCCTCCCCCATCAGATTCATGACCAGATTAGTTGTGGAGATGGAACAAAACAGACAGTACTGGCAGCATGACAATAACCAGCATTGCTGTGGCTCTAATTTTAGGGTGCATCCCTATAGTGGGCTGCTTTGACAAGTCCTCAAGTTCTTCCATTTATCATCATCTCAATCATCATCATCAATCCCTTCGTCCCCCTGCCCAGCATCCACAGCCTCACCATACAGTACCTTTACACCATCATTATTATGGTTGTCCAAAATACAAAGGAAAATGGGGTTCAGTTGGTGACTTTGTTAACGTAACAGAATTTGGTGCAAAATGTTTAAACTGGGTGGAGGTGCCTACTTATTTGGAGAGGACTCCAGGTAAAGGATTAGGAGACCACAACTTCTGCAGGAACCCTGATGGGAGGAGTAAACCTTGGTGCTTCTTCAGGAATAACCATAGGAGAGTGGACTGGGGCTACTGTGACTGCAAGCAAGGTGAGTCACTGACCTCTGTTCAGATGGGTCTACTAATCTTAATCATAATTAATCATTCATCTGAATGAGCAGAGTGGTTTTATAATGTTTAAACTCAAATGATATATTTTTGGAGTAAGGTAAGATTGTAGAAGAAAATAGCTGATGAATTCCTAGATCAGTAAATAGCCCAGAAGAGTTGTTACATTGAAGTTTGTATACACAAGCACCAGGTCATCATACTTTGGTTTTTGCTGTTATGTCACCAGCTAAACGCTGACGGAAGCAATGGCAAAATATTGTTTTCCTGGATTTTATTACAAAAAAAGTGTATGCATGTGGTTGTGTATGTATATATGTATTTGTATGTGTATATATATGAAAATTCTTAGAAACAAATGTATTCTTCTAAAACGACTAAATATGTATATATGTTTTTCGCACTGGTGTGCAGTGTGTGTCTTGATACACATGCATAATAGGAGCAACATGTGGTAGCTGGAGGCTGACATATTGTTTTACTTGTAGATTACATCTAGGTGTTAAAACATTGCTGTTAAATCCTAAATATGTGTCTATGTCAAGTTAGTTAATTATCAACTTTAGAGATCAATTTAGAAGCTCTACTATTCCAAAACAAAAAAAGAGTCTAATAAAATTCATGGAAATATGATTGTGGTTCATGTCTATTATGTCACACTTATTACACTGAAATTATTCCCTTTACAATACATATATCCATATTTTAAAGTGCATGCAATATATTTATTTTTATTAACCCCTATAATAATAAGTGATTTGTATAACGTTGTGTTTTTAAGTCTGAATCTGTGTGCACTAAACATTTTCAAAAAGTAAACAAAAGCTACTTCTGAGTCTAATTTTCTGTAATTATCTGAGTGAAGAAGAAACTAGGTGTCCATAAATCATGATATGTACAATGTGGCTTGGTTTATTGTATGATACAATATTTTAATAAAGGTTAACAATTCATTACGTAGTGTTAAACCTTGTATAAAAGAGTGAACACACAATAATGAGTGTTAAACCTTAGGAAAATCTCAGGTAACATCAGTGAATCAGTAGATCCACTGATTAGAAGTGCTAAACCATAGACCCAAGTGCAATTCTGTAGATAAGTTGTGTTAGACATCATCACAGTTGCAAATCCATATAATTTACATCTTGAGACTAATTGTGCTAAACCTAACCATACAGGTATGGCGAGTTACATTAAATTATCTGATGCAGTGTAATGATCAATGAACAATAAGTGCAAAACTATGGTATTAGATCAGTTTGATCGTTTTCTTTTATTATTCAGGAGACATTCTGTTGTTTTAGTAGATGGAGAAATTGTGCATCCATAAATGTATATAAAATACAAAACCACTAGGAACCATCAGTAGCTTGTTTAGGACTCATAGTCCCCATCAAACTAGGTGTTAAACATTAAAATAATAGTGTAATTTTTAAATAGGGATGGCATGCTCACAAAATACTAATTCATGGTATGCAGTGAGTGTTAATCTTTGAACAAAACTGCCAAACCTTAATATGTAATTTAACTAGTTAGGCATATTCTCACTCATACTGACATTTATTTACCAATCCGCAACTAAATCCACAAACACAGACATTTTAGTTTTTATGTTGTTTGTGGGTGATAGGTAAAAATTAGCCTTTAACAATGGCATTGTGTGATGAGAATGGAAAAGTGCAGTTGATTAATACCTGACTCCTCTTCTCATTGAACCCTGCCTTGTGTGTCCTTTTTTGAGTTATTTGAAAGGTGACTTCTTGCATACTTGAATATCTATCATCAGGACCAATGTACTGTGCTCTGCCACCAACATGGGCTTAGTTTTTCGAAATATCTTTTGCTAATTGCAAATGGAATTACCTGTGAGCTTAATGAATCTGACAAAAGAATTTCCCTGTGAAACTAAGCTACACTTCCCTTCATATTATTTTTAAGTAAAAGCAACCAAAGGAATTCCTAGTGGTTATCATTTGGAATGTAAGGGGTTAACATGAAGTATTAGAATGGTACTAATACAAGTAATATATACCAGATACACAGGTGACATGAACAATAAGAATTCTTAAATGGCAGCAGATTGCACTTATTGGTAAATAAAACGGAGCAGTCATGCTCCCAAGTCAGCCAGACACCAGACGGTTCAAAGTTCCTTGAGTTATTGAAAGGGTAGTTTTCCCATTGATGTGATTCAACAAGCTGCATTCAGAGCTCTTTATCTCCCAATTTATGACTGTTTTTCAAATGTTTGCATATGCTTTTGTCATCCTTAGAAATAGTGTGAATATTTAAACCATTTCTCTGTGTTTAGGTGCTTTGCTTGCTAAATGCGAAATATATCAGACAAGGGAATATCTTTTTGTCCCCAGAACCATTTTTTTGTGCCATTTTTTTTGTGTTTTATTTCCTAAATAATATTTTATTTCAGAGAGTGGATTTTTTAAATATAGATAAAGAATAAAATACAGGGAAGGGATGCAAAAAAATGCAATTAAAAATAATAGAATAAAATGACATTACTATTACAGGGAGAAAGATGTGGGCTCCGAAGATGTGTAGGTATTTATAAACAACCACAGAAATGTAGCAAATAGGCTCAGTGGCTTTCAGCACGTAGTTGACTGATATTAATTGTTTTTTTATTAGTTGATTATTATTTGACATGTAATCCTCAGTATGGTGAAATAAGTGAAATTCAGATGTTTCCAATGAACTATAATAACCCTAAACAAACTGAGCTAGGAAAATCCCTTGTTTTCTAGACAGTCTGTATGTGTCAGTGATTCTGAATTGGTTAAACCAGGGATTTTACAAAGACATACTGATATGAAAAAAAAAACCACGGCATTATATCTTTACTCATAATCACATTAATACAGAAAAGGAAAGAACTGCAGATTCTGTGATCCTGAAAGACTGCCCATTGACCTCAAGACTCAAATAAAAACCTACATTGTATATTCATTAGTTAGAATGTGGCAAATGTTTAAAGGACCACTATAGTGCCAGGAAAACATACTCGTTTTCCTGGCACTATAGTGGCCTGAGGGTGCCCCCGGCCCCCCACCCTCAGGGACCCCCTCCCGCCGAGCTCTAGGGAGAGGAAGGGGTTAAACTTATCGCTTTATCCAGCGCCGGGCGGGGAGCTCTCCTCCTCCTCTCCTCCCTCTTCCCCTCCTCTTTGGCTGAATGCGCATGCTCGGCAGGAGCCGCGCGCGCATTCAGCCAGTCCATAGGAAAGCATTCTCAATCTTCTCATTGTGATTTTCACAGTGAGAAGCACGCAAGCGCCTCTAGCGGCTGTCAAGAGACAGCCGCTAGAGGCTGGATTAACCCTAATATAAACATAGCAGTTTCTCTAAAACTGCTATGTTTATAAAAAAAAAAAAAGGGTTAATCCTAGCTGGACCTGGCACCCAGACCACTTCATTAAGCTGGAGTGGTCTGGGTGCCTATAGTGGTCCTTTAAGTGAAAACAGGGAATCTGACGAATTTACAAACTTGGCTGCACTGGAGTTTTTGGTTAAAGTCACCAAAACTCTCTATTCAGTAATGAAACCCCTCAGCCTTGACAAGCCTTGGGAACACAAACAGGCTCTGCTTCCTAGTCCCGTGAAGGAGAAGACCAAAGCTAAAGATTTAAATTATCCTGCCATAGTATCCTATCAAGAGATAGCAGTTGTCATCAATTAAGAAATGGAAA